CTACGCGTGCAGTTGTCTTCGTTTCGGTTGTGGTCATACCATGTCCAGATGTAGCCCCCTACCATGCACCTACCATGCGGTTCGTTTAGGGGCCCCATATGCACGTCACTCACCTGCACACTGATCAGATACTAGAGAAAAAACCAGTAGTACCCGAAAAGACTGCCCTGTTTGACCATCTGAAAAAAAGAACCGGCAACCCAACAGTAGTCACCGCCAGCTGTCGGGAAAACGAGCGTGCTAGTGTCTAAAACCACATGCGTGGTAAGTCAACGCAACAAGCTTTGATGTGAAAAGGTGTTACTGCAAGAACGCAGGGGAACGTGCCACATACAGAAAGGACCGGGGAAGATTCCAGAAGTTGGCCTATTCTCTGGTCAGTTGTTTTCAATTTTGACACTGTTAAATGTGACCAGCCGCATACATTGTTTTGGAAACGCCTTGACTGTAGGCCGTCTAAGCGTAGTTCGCTACATTCCAGTTCTTTGCGTTATTCACTGTACAAGGGCGTAGTTAATTTAATGTTTATCTATGTAAACGTTTTTGGGTTCTTTTTTACTCTACAATTATTCGGTAGATCTCCTCCTTACAAAACGCCATTTTGTCGGGAAAGCAGCTTACTAGTTCCCCGTCAAATCGTTATTCGAACGATTCTCTCCTGCCGTGTTTAATTACTTCCTGTTTGACTCTTTTGCAGGCCCTTATTATGCTCATCTGTGACGTGAAGGCTATGGAACGGACCATGCGGGAAATGAATTACGACTCAAGACGTTTACCACTGGGCAAGCTGACGCCCTCGCAAATCAACGCAGGTTACAATGCGCTGAACACCATTTCTCAGTGTTTGGACCAACTGGAGAAGCTGAAGCATCCACCACCACCATCACAGGATGATGCTCCTGGATCTAAGAAACGACCAAGGAGGTCACCATCGTCTGCTTCAGAATGTGCTCGGATTCGCCGTGACCTGTTAGAAGCCTGTAATCTCTTCTATACGCGTGTTCCGCATGACTTTGGGTTCGTTTCGTAGGACTTCGTTTAAACTCAACCCTTCTACTAAAATTAAAACAGTAGCCATGTTTTTGTCTATTTTTCCCAGTTTTTCCTCCGCATGTACTTGTCTTTGGTTCGGTTGTGGTCATGCCCGGCCTAACCGTCCTCTATAATGTCTTTGATCCAGGAAAAGCTCTATCCGATCCCTTCCCAATCGACAAAGACATCATTTTTGTTCTCTCTTTTCACTAGCATGCGCATTCCACCCTTGATTGATACCCCGGACTCTGTCAAACTCGAATTGGACCTTATGAAGTCGTTACAGGACATAGAGGTAGCTTTCAACATCATTCATGGTGAAACACGAGATAACTCTCATCCGGCCGATCGACACTATCGAGCCCTAAAGTGTGATATCAACCCGCTTTCAACAGGCGACCAAATGCTTGAAGTACGCACCACCCACCTCCCCAGTTCTTATTTAATTTGCCTTCTGCTTCAGTTTATGGATTGGGGCTGAAAATCTGTCTTCTTCAAAAATAGGGGATAAAATGGGCTGTTTTTAACCTTTAAGTGCTATTAGTAAGTTACAGGTTCTACTTTAGCGGCTATTAGTCTGCCTTCAAATCAGATTGGTTGCCCGCCTCCCTAGCTTGTTCTCTTCGCTTAAAAGGAGGCTTGACCAGCGCGGCTATGAGTACCACTACGCCATCCGAATCTAACATATTTATCTACTAGTGTCATCCTTCACGAAAGTTACACGCCACCAAACATATTGTTCCCTGTGTTTCAGTAGTATTATTATACAATTGTTTCTCTAAACAGGTCGTTGGATAAAAGCGCGCGGTCCAGTACATTTTGAATAATTTTTAAGTTTGTTTGGCAAACATATTTCCGGCCATTTATGGTGAGGCCGGTCCATTGGTATTGAGAATGAAATAGTCAGTTATTTACAGTGGCTATATGCTTATTCGTGGGG